TTAAACTGCAGTTAATAATTGGCGCTTGGATATTAATGATTGGCAATTTGTAATTGATAATAATATGGCGGCAGTTATTTAATCAATACAAGCAGACAGATATTTATAATTATGCAATAATATTGCACTGAAAATTTTAAGTGATATCCTACTAATGCTCTCTACTTTGCACCATATATAATAATAAATAGGTCTCCCATAGTAGAAGCCTTACAGATAAGGATCTGATAACTCACCTAAATCCTTTATGTATTATGAAAGCTTATACTTCGGTATTGTTAAATAAAAATAGACTGAGTGATATGCTCTTAAATACCATAGGCCAACCCAAAATTGCTCTTACAATTCTAGGAAATTTTTAATTTTACTTTATTTTTATATTGCATACCAATTAACTGAATCTAATGGTAATTTAATAGTATACTATTAGCTCAGCAAGTAGTTGGCTGTACTGTAGAATAATGAGTTCTCTGGGATAAGGCCTTTGGCAGCACAAAAGCTCTGACAAACTCCACACAAAAACAATGATTGGGGTCTAGTAAATGCACCTAAATGGGGCCCTCCTTGGTCTCCCTCTATTTAAAAGAACCAGACTTCTTATATCGTTAGTTTAAATATAAATCATTATCTTTAGAAATGTCGGGGAGAACTAAATGTTTGGGGATATGGTGAAAATATTCCTTATTTGTTGAACTATTTATTAAATTTACATTTTTGTACATGTACATGTAAATTCAATGTAAATTCCTTATACGTGAACTGAAATTGTTTGTTTTTTATTTTGTAAACACTTCGAATGAGTCATGCATGATTCATTCAATATCGGGGTTTATTTTTAGGCCAGGGAATCACTTCGGCGTAATGTTAAGAATAAATATAAAATATGACTTACAGATGCTCACTCAGTGACGTAAATGAATTTGTCTTGACGACATTCAGAATTTGAATTCAATTGCTGTGCGAGCGATACTTTGACTCATTTCCTCTAATACCCACTGGTAGGATCCTGTCGGTTTAGGATTCAAGCAGCCATGTAGAACCACACTTGAGGAGTAATCTTATTCCCATATCCTATCTAGGCACATGAGTGTCCTTACTGGTCATTGGGATTGAGTAAAGTTCATCAATCAAGGTAAACAAAAGTTTAAAGTGCAGATTTCAAGTCCTGTTTACTTAACCATGGTTAAGATGGAATTTAATGGTGGGACAGTAAATTAAGTGTCATTAAAAATATGTTCCATGTATGTTTTAAGCCACTAATTTAATCTGCTACAGTCTCCCACCCCCCACCCTTCACTCCCGATGCGCCCCTTGGACTTGACTGGTACCCTGGTGGCTGCTTAACACCATGGACACGCTTCAAATTAAGCCCTATACTCGGACCGTACTACTGCCACCATTAACCATTACCTTCATTATCACTATTTTTTCATGTCCAGTATCACAAAAAAAATTTTGGAATTTTACCAGCCTTAGAACAAGGGAAAGTGCATTTCTGGGCCCCTAGGAAACAGAAAATTTACCCCCCATCCAAACAACCTGTTTGCACTACTTGGCCACCATATCAATGGGAAGTAAGGCAAGCACCAAGTAGTAGTTAGATGAAGGTTCTGGTAAATGATGTGGTAGGTGGTTTCTTTTGTAGTTGGTATTCTTCCTTCATTTTATGGTTTATATTCAATATCCAATTTTTTCCAGATAAGCTTGTTTTATATAGTATTTTTTTTTTTAGCAAGCATATTAAAAAAAAAAAAAAAAAAAAAAAAAAAAAAAGCTCCAATTATGTTTATTATTTCTCCAAGTAACCTTGAACTTGTTAGATTTGACTTTGAAACCTCCTTGTTTAAAATTTCTCATGAAATGTAGTTTCCAATACTTTTAGAAATTTATTTGTACTTCCACTTGATTGACATTTTCAGTATCAGTTTTCATGCACGTCCATTTTTATTAATGTGACAGTTAAGATTATATACCATATGAAAAAATGCACCAGATACAGTTAAACACAATTTGTCCTGTGAATAAAGAAATGATACAGATGACAAAAATTGCCCCAGTATTCACAGTATGCAACCTCCTATGTTTCTGCGAAGTAATCCTACTCTATAGTCATAAACACGCATCTGATAAGATCTAATTACAGTATGATATAACTTATTATTATTAAGCCTGGAACGAAGGATAGAAAAACTTTGATAATTGTGCCTTACACAAAGACACAGGTAAATGGGCAACATAGGATTCAACACCTGACCCTGAATCGCAAGTGTCAACCACTCCGCACAAGCCTTGAGAAGGATAATGGCAGGATTGAACCCAGGAGCTTGGAAATTAAGGCAATCACCCTATCCATCAGTTCACAGCCCTACTATATATGCCTAAAGGTCTCCCTCCAATTAAAAACCAATTTTCGGACTGAGGTTTCCGTGGGTTTTATCATATTTGGCCTTTAATTAGAATAAGGTATAAAGATAATGTTAATATGGGACCGCAGAAAAGTGGTCGTTAATTGGAGGTTGCCTTTAATTGGAGGAGTCTCAATTAGAGGAAGACCTATGTGATGGTAATATTAGAACCTTCATTTATGACTGTTCTTATGTTAAATCACATAGCAAATAGTGTTCACGGTACATCTCTCAATACATTTATTCACATTGCATTTGTAGTGCATTGTCTGCCAAGTGTCCTAAGCGCTCAATTTGTAATGCTACTAGCAAAGAACTCAAGGTCAATAAGTCATGAGTCTCACATGACCATTCATCCGCATCAGTGAATGTTAAACTAACAGCATATAGGGTAAAATGGAATCCAGAGCATGTGTAAATGATGCTCTGAAGATGAACTTGTTAGTCTGGTGACTGCGGTATAGGCCCTTACTTGCAGCTGCTGTTTTCTCCATTCTTTGATGCATTTGCTGGTATTTTGGCGGCAATGCCAAAGTCATCATTAGAGTACTACAATGCCATAAAAAAAAAAAAAATACATAATTTCAACTCATTCATCAAAATCAGACATGTTACATCTCTGAATATCAAATATTTTAAGATACTTTCTTGGGGATTAATATTAGGAATTTTGTAGAATCGTTGTGTTGGCAAAGAAAACTTCTGAAGTTTCTGGTTTTTGAAAAATTAAAGGTGGGCCATTAGCTTTTACAGGTCATCACCTTTTTCAGACCTACTAAGTGCCATCAAAATTTGAGGATATAAAAATTATAACTGTATAGTTCAATGTGACCAAAGAATGGTTATCCTGATGTTATGGTTCATCTCTGCTCCTGTCGTTGTGGAAAGATTTGAACAAGTACTATAAAGCTTCTTTACGGCTGCTATGTAGTCACGGACCACGCCCATATGCAAATTCAGCACAACGACGCTGCAAGTTGTGGGATATTCTAGCTTTGCCCTTACCTTTAACAATCCACAACAAAAATGTTCTTAAGGAGTTGACGTGGGCCAGTTGCTTTCCCCTGAATCCTGAATTTCAAGGAATTCCTTAATTTTCCATACATAATATTGATTTTGAAGTAACTTTATTTCGGTTCTATGAGTATGAGTTATTTTAACCTTTTGCACATGAACCGAAAAAAAGGTCAAGCCAACTGTGCACTAATGATAAATTGGTGCATGGTTGGAATAATAAAGTAACATTGGGAGTTACAGTGATGACATCATGATTGACTTTATTCACTAATATTGAAAATAATGCTTAAGGTTTAGCACACATACCATAACAGGTTGCCACAAGTTATAATCAAAGCTGTTCAATTGACTACATATAAAAAACTAGTCTAGTTGTAAACTCGTATGTTAATGAAACCATACCAGAAGCAATAAATAATTTCTTCATGTTTTAAAAACCATTGCAAAACCAATTATTTACCTGTATAGCCTTTACTAAAAGTATTAGGAAGCTACTGCATGTATGAAATTAGGTTGAATAGCGTATACCCTTCACTTCTCAGTCACAAGATCAAGCATGTTTCAGATCTGTAACATGTGTTGAGGAGAAAGTAATATAGTATTTGGCCACATGATGTCTGAGGGATATGACTTATTCTGTTATGCCCTGTAGAAAATGTTTCTCTATGACTCGTTGCTAGCTTTTTTTTTCCTTATTAAGAAGTTGATAAAATTTGAAAAAATCTTCACATACAGTTAAATTGGGAGATTGATAGTAGGGTAAAAAAGTAAAGTGGTGGAAAACATGAAGTGGGTATACTCGATAGTTAAGTGAGGAGTTGCTACCTATCGATATAAGATGATTATAAACTACCTTTTTTTTTGTTTTTAAAATTTCCAATGTGGGTTGGCCAGGGGTACTGGGGAGGGGATACACACACATAGCCCCGTAAATACACTGCTGTTCACATATTCTAATTTATACTTAAGAGCAATTCAAATATTTGATTTGGATTTAAAAATTTTCTTTAAGCTCATGTCCACACTACCAAATATTGTATGACAAATATTGGCTTCATATTTGCCATTATAGAATTTGATAGTGTGTACAGAACTTTAATATAATTATGTGGCAAAGACAAGCCAAATCAGTCACTCATCGCAAAAATTGATTTTTAGTTATTAATAAAGGGTTATGCAATAAAATGAGATCTATAGATTGGTAAAAGAATCATCTAAATACAACATTTCGTTATGAAGTTGGAGGAGTTGAAATATATAGCTGTTTATATTTGAGAAATACACCTTTAAAGTTTATGATTTTGGGCATTTCTTAGGCAGAAACTGTCACTAAATCGTTAAAAATTGTTGTTTTAACATTGAAAATTGGGAAAATAACAGCATAGCGTGATATATAGGTATACAAATTTAGTTTAGTGCAATAAAATCGATTTCAACAATTTTGACGTTATAGCATGTTTTGGCCGTTATCTCTGAAACAGGATTTGCAACAAGTGACTGGTTTAGCAATTTAACAATTTTTTTAAAATAAATATAATTATATTTACTAAAGAAAGTTTACAAATTCTTTTTATTCAGAAACTCGGGTGGCATATTGTTCTTATACTAGCTTTTGGACTTTCATGCATTTTTGGGGTTGATTTTCCAACATTCGGCAGTGATTGAGCCCATCTTAACACCTTGATTTCAATTGAAGGATTCTCTATCTGGCTGCCGTAGTGTGATGTCGGCAAAAAAGAGGTGAGTAAGAAAAAATGTTCTTTTAGCTTTCAACTGGAAACAAATATCTACACATTAAGCAAGTCGAACATTGGATTTTTTTCTTAAAATTTTGTTTAGGGTCAATTAAACTAAGTTAAATTCAGTGTTTTGTTCAAAAATTGTGAAAAAACAAACAAATTAGGATAGTTTGTTTTGACTGTCAGCTTTTTCTCATCAAATCATGCTGGTAACAACAAATCTGATTTACATGTGTAATGTTTTTTTCAAGTTTTAACCATTAAACATTAACAATATACAGTAATCAAAACAGGCTTAGTAACTAACTACCATAATAATTGATTAAAAATATACCAATCCAGAAACTAAGTACCATACTGTATGAAGATGGATTGTACTAAACAAAACAAAAAAAGGTTAAGTCAGGAACATGAAACCAATATATTTTTTACTTGGCTTAAAGATGTATTGTCCCATGCTTAATACCAAAAAAAAATCATAAAAATATTTTGAAATTAACTTGCCCATTTTGCAGTAACATAAAGGTTATCAACTTGAACATAGAAATTAGTGTATTTAAAAAATGTTTACCCATCAGTTTACAGCGAAAAATGATAGAAACACTTCCAGTCACTGGAAGTGTTTTATTATTTTTATTATAAATTTTTGGTTTAAAAATCAGGGTACACATTTTTAAAATTCAATAATTTTTATGCAGAAGTTAATAATTCGTATGCTATTGCAATGTGAGCAAGTTTATTTCAAAATGAATGTTTATGATTTTTTGACATTAGCAAGGGACAAAACATCTTTAAAGCTTTTGGAGTAGAACTACATTGTGCTTGCTGTTAAATGTGAAACAAAATAGAAGACAAAGTTATCTTGCATCATTTAATTTGTATTACACCTACATGCATAATGGAACACTCCAGAATGCTAGTTGTAGAGAACAGTGTAAGTTTACAGTGTGTTAATGAACGTCGTAAATCTTCTTTCAAAGTTGTAACAGCTGGGAAAGTTGAGAATTCATGTCTACACAACTCTGAACTGCCATCTCAAGTGATGCATATTGTATCTATGTATACTGCCCTCATATTTAACTTTCTTCCTCCTCTTCCACCATTTCCCCAATTTTAAGATTGCTTTTTTAAACTTAAACAAATAAAAGTTAGTATTAAGACTTTTCCTAGTATTCTTTTTTATACCTGTATTGTTTATGACCTTTTAATTTTATATTTAAAAAAATATTTTCATGGTCTACAGTACTGTATAGCTTTTTAATACTTCCCCATTTTAAATGATTTATTACAACTTTATGACCTCTGTGACCCAATTATGGTTTTCTCCACACATTGGAAACTGATTATTTCACATTGAAATACCAAATGCTGTGGGCAGATGATTAATACTTAGTTAAACATTTGTGTTATGAAATAATTATTAACTTTAGTTAACTCTTATAGAAAATTAAGTAAAATTAAATAAAAAATATTTATAGATACTGTATAATAGTACTTAAGTTAAATAGAATGAAATAGTACGTCTGTACACTCTGTTATGTCAACATCCTTACTACAAAAAATCTGAAAACATTTTAGCCAATATACAGTAACTAGTATAAAGATTATAGTAATATAGAACACATGTTCCATTTTAACACTTAAATCTGGATGAATTAATACACACTACTCAGATGGCAGGTTAGTGGCAGATTTAGAGGGTAGCAAATACAGATGCTTGCCCCTTCCCCATATATGACACCAACCAAAATATTCTCTAGCCAAGTTTAAAATTATTTAGATAAGAGTTTAAAATAGGTAAAACTCAAGAGATTGTATCCATAGAATTAGACCCCTCAATAGATACTGTACAGTAATAAGAGATCGTCCCACAAACCTCGGACAAAGGGTCTTGCCCGTCAACACTTGACAGTAGAGACACAAGAAAGTGACCAAAATGGGAGTCAATTTTTAAAACATGCAAATATTATTGACAGGTTATTTTGTGGTAGATTCTTGCTTGCTTGCAGAGTATGAGAGGACGTCTTCATAGTATTGAGAGACTTCTGCAACTTTGCGAGACTTGAAACCCATCCCCGATCTTAGGATCGATAGATCAAGTCCTGTTGTTAACCTTCATGCTTTAGCCGCTACCACAAATTCATTATTTTTGTCTGTCCCCCCCGTTTGAAGAAAAATTGGAGAAAAGGAGCTGGCGAAAACATTAGGCAAAAACCTATGTAAATTTAATTAACCAATAAAACAGTTAAAGTCAATTAACAGTGTAGGGTGATAAAATAATATGGAGGTTTTTTGGTTTCTTTTGTTGGTGGTCCATGGGAAGTAGTAACATTTTTTCCTCTCTTCCCTTCTCACAAGAGAACCTATATGTGACCAGCATTGGCAAAACCTGTCATTTGTGGCAAATCCTATGTTTACACAATGTAACCAAGACTTTCAAGAATCAGATTGTTGAACATTTTCAGGTTTTTGCATTTTATTTTATAAAAGAAATGTTAAATATAATGTAACCTATTTTCAGTTACCTAGGCAGGTCTGAGATCGCATCGCTCCTCACCATTTTCTTGGAAATTTGCTTGAAATATTTCATACCAAACTGTTATTTTTGTTTAGGCTGCAGTTGCTCGATGATGAACACCAAACACAGTCCAGACTCCTCTGTGTGTGTGTGTGTGTGTGTTGTTTTTTCTCAACCAAGCCTCATATTTTCTTAGAATGAATTAGTTCTCAAATAGTGACAAGATTCAAGATGCCAGATTTCTTTTATTTGTCATTATTACAAGTTCATAAAACACAAAAAATTCATTTTCTAAAGACAGATGGTGAAAAATATAAAAAAAATTACAAAACAAAGGTTACAATTCTTTAAACCAATTCATTTGGAATGAAGATAATTATAACATTTCAGATTATCTTATAAGCTCTGATAAGAAAAGTTTATTGCGCTAGGGAGGAAAGAGTTCCTATCAAAGTTTCGCAGTTGTTTTTCCTACAACCAGTCTATCAGATCTGCATGTAAGTAAAGGATGTTACTTAATGGGTGATATTCAGCTTGTTTAATTAATTTGAATTTATTAAGCATCAGTTTTTCAAACAAGATAGCTACTGTACCTGTACACCACCACATAGTAATGGCTATCCCTAATTTTACAGCAGATACAATGAGGTTACAGTAGCTGAGAACAACCAAAGACAAGCCAAACCATTCACTCCTCCCAAATCCTGTTTCAGAGGTAATGGCCAAAACATGCTGGAATGTCCAAATTTTTGAAATCTATTTTCTTACACTAAACTAACCTTTATATATCATCATGCTATGCTGTTATTTTCCCAATTTTCAATGTTAAATCAACATTTTTTAATGATTTGATATTTGGTTTCTGCCTGAGAAATTGCTCAAAGTCATAAACTTTAAAGGCTGATTTCTCAAATATTGTTCTTTAAACAGCTGTGTGTTTAAACTTCTGTAACTTTATAACGAAATGTCGGATTTTAATGATTCTTTTACCATTTTATAGCTCTGATTTTACTGTTCAAACCTGTATTAAAATATTGATTTTTGAGACTAGTGAGGACTTGCCTTTCCCACATTTAATTGTGATGTTGAATCTAGGGGGTGGCAAAAAGGGCACTCATCCCATACTGCAGCTGAAAGGTCTCTAAACATGTGTCAAATAATTTGTTTAGTTGGTTGCAGGTTGTTGGTATATTTTCTCTTGCCTTACTTCCTTCAATAGAATAATGCACTTAAACATTTGATGCACATGTACATACTGTACCTCATAGATTACTACAGTGTTACGTCATGATACCATGTGATACTACTCTGTTGCTATCGGCGACACAAAATACGTTTAACCGACTTCCATTTTTATGTATTCACAAACCATTGATCCAAATATCTAACGTAATTATTAAGAAGTTGTATCTTAATTTTTCTCTGTAAATTTTAATTGATTATTAAATGTGTGTTTCGATTAACTACTGTAATAAAATGTGAGCTTTTTGTGTTTTTAGTACATTTTGATCGTAAATTATTAGATTTTAAAATGCCTATTCGAGAAAGCCTATTCTAAACCATTAAGATTATGAAGTCATTCGGGCGTAATAAACGGTAACCAACGTCCAGAGGGCGCCGCCTGGTGTTGTGATGACACGACTGTGATACTCTATTCCTATCACTTAACCAACAGAAATTAACAATTGTTTTTCTTTTTCTTTTTGTTTTACTGCAGAGGTAAAAGACTGTTATATGATATACTAGGTCATATTCATATGTTATTAAATTAGGGACTATGTCAAAATTTACAATTTTTACACTAGAAAAGTTTTGGAAATAATTATGTGTACAGACTTTTATGCAGGATTGTCTGTAATCAATGAATTTAGAAAAGGAGAATACATAAAAACCACCAACACTCAGTACTCACAACTGTGAGCTCATATTAAAAGTCATAATTTTTATTTATATATTTTTTTAACGCGAAAAAAACAAAAACAATTAATTACCTGGAGCGTAGAATTGCTAAATAGCGTGAAATTTACCGTGGGCAATTTGACTCATCCATGTTGGAATGGCTGTCTAGAGGGCAAGTTAACTCTTGCATTGTCCAGGGTAGTGTTGTTCGGTCTAATTACCATAGCAACTGTATCTAAGTTCACGCTGAGGGATTCAATATTCTAAATATACAGTAAATTATAAGTACCGTATTTCACACTAAACAACGAACACACTTTGTTGTTATATACTGTAGTTTGAAAAACAAAAACTGTCTTGTGCACTTTATGCATTTTCAAGTTTCAAGGAACAATAGACTGGAAATAGAATGGGTAAAAAGAAATATTATAGATACAAGTTTGTTTTTAGAGTAGTACAGTCCTGTCCTGTTTATTCAGTGATAATACTACAATATGAATTGTGGAATTTTAAGTGTGTACAGTAGTTTTGTTTAAATACAGTATTATATTGTTGTTTATACAGTATATTGACAACATTAACAT